CAGGCCTGCAGGACTGTACTGCCTGCCCTAGCGCACAGGGTGCACACAGAGCTGCGGGACTGCGCTGCCTGCCCTCGCCCGCGGGGTGCACACAGGCCTGCAGGACTGTACTGCCTGCCCTAGCGCACAGGGTGCACACAGAGCTTCGGGACTGCGCTGCCTGCCCTTGCCCGCGGGGTGCACACAGAGCTGCGGGACTGTGCTGCCTGCCCTTGCCCGCGGGGTGCACACAGAGCTGTGGGACTGCACAGAATGGACAGGATCCGCCCCTCAGTCAAAACCCACAGGACTGGAGGAAACAGTGAGCCCAAGTTGGGCCCGTCAGAACCTGCCCCTGTTTGGAGACCCTGCTGGATTCTTCTGGAGCTGGGTCTCATAGGTACGCGGAGAGTGATCAACACGCACCCCTCCCCAACCCCGCATGAAGCAGCCATGGCAGGAGAAGCACAGAAACTGACAGAAGAGCAGGCGCTCAGGAGAGGCAGAGACTAGAGAGACATCTGGCCTGGCCCTCTCCATGCCAGGCAGCTTGGCTTTACCCACATAACTGATTCTCCACCTTTGTTCTTCTTAAACTGAACTGTGTTTCTGTCATTTGCTAGTAACAGAGTCCTAAAGAATGGGAACGATACCAACCATGGCCTCCTACCCCTCTGCTTACCACAGACTTGCCACCTTCAAACCCTAGCTCCACCATTTCTTTAAGATGGAGAGAGACCAGATGGAGAGAGACTTAAGGCTCCCTGATGATGACGGGTGCATCACTCGCCTCTTGGGGAAATCACAGGGAATTCCCTTTTCTACAGCACGTGGACTCTAACCCAGGAAGGCCTGGGAGCCATACTGATAACAGCAACTAACGAGTGGGCTAGAACACAGCACACTGTCCAGGCCTCCTTCTGGGCTGTGTGTCCACATGCATGAATGCATGAAAACACACACACACACACACACACGTACACACCTTGATGGCTTCCTTTATCTCATATACGTCAAAGAGGACTGGGGTCTTCATCAGAGCCAAGATTGTCTTCTCAAAGTTTCCTGACAGTTCAGATTTCAGATCTTTGATCAAATCCTGATTGGATATTCAAACAAACAAACAAACAAACAAACAAAAAAAGTCTATTTTAAAAATCCACAGGAGGTGACTACTAAGAGCCATATCCCAGATTCAAGGAGCAGCGGCACGGACATCCCCCAGGGGCCCGAGAGAAAAGCCTGCTCTCAGGCCTGCCCCAAACCTCCCGAATCAGAGACCACATTTTACCAAGATGCCCAGGGGATCGGTGACACATTGAAGTGTGAGAAGCACTGGGCTAGAACATGAATCTAATCAATATTTACCCAATTTTTACCTTTCTAAGATTCAAAAACCCAGAAGTTCAAAATGCGCTCATACATGCCCCTCGTACTTGAGCAGTGCTCACAGCCTTTCCCTGCAAAGTTCTTACATCAGCTAAACCCCCCAGGGTGGTCATGAAGAGGGCAGGGGAAGGAAAATGATGTGGCCACAACCTTAGTGAGATGTGGCAGAGCAAGGGCTAGAACCCAGGGCTAGATGTCTGGAGCCTCTCAGCCAACCTTGGCACCCTGTGGCATCCTTCACCTCCCAACGATGTCACCCGCTGGGTGGGCAGAAGGAAATGCCCTCCTGCTCCTTACTGTCCATCCGGGAGACCCGGGCCCACCCAAGAAAAAGCAGGGGTGAGCAGGGCTGTGCTGAGCTCAGGACACGCCTCGCTGTCCCGCGCCCCCACCCCGCAGCTTGCCTTGCCATAAGCCGTCTTGAAGGAAAGGAGGATCTGCTGCCGCTGCTTGTTGGAGCGACTCCCCAGGCAGTCAATGATGGCCTGCTCATCCGTCCCTGGAGGAAGAGGCAGCAGGGATGGGTCGGGCAGGGGTTATGAGATGCTCTGCAGCTGAGACTTCCCTGGCCTGGGTGCCTCAAATGTTCTGGGCATGACAGCCACAATCCCACATCCATCTTCTCTTTTATTACCACTGGGGCCAGGTCTGCGTCCCCCAGCTACCCTAGCCCACAGAGCCACTGTGAAACTGCCTGGGGAATAGGGGGCAGGGGGTAGGATTTGAGCCACCCAGGGTCTCTTACCAAAGCCTTTCATGGCCTTCCGCAGGACCTCGGCATCTCGCAGGGGGTCAAAGCCAGGAGCATCAGCGATGGTGCCTCGGCTTCCAAACTACTCGGACAAACAGTCACAGGTAAGATGATACATATGCCACCTTCCCCAGATTCAAGACTGCTCCACCCCTAGACTCTGGGAGCAGCCCTTTCTCTAAGAGTTGGAGTATCTAAAGGAACCCACAGTCAACAACGCAGAGGACTCTACGCCAAGTCTGCCTAACTTGACTGTTATCTGGCCTTGTGTTCTAGTACGGAAGCTTTTTCCTGGCTCCAGTGGCTGGGAGCCCACCTATAGCTGAAACCTGACGCTGTAAATCTGCCCAGTGCCCAGGTCCTCCAGGGCTGGGGCTCAGGCTTCCGATGAAGGGCAAGCCTCAGGAGCAGAGGCTGTGGCCTCTCTCATAGATGACTGGTCTCCACAGCACGTGAGCACACGTGGGTACTCCTAACTGGGCTGGCTAGCCCATGTGAACCCTCCAGCAGATGCAGGTATTCAGACTCCACAACTGTGCATGGCAGCCTGACGACCTCTTGATCTAGCACTGGTTCCCTGGCACTGTTCTCTAGACTAAAACCTGCCGGACTTCCTCCACACCCTGACAGCTGCACAACCCAGCAAATTTGAACTTTCCAGGTTATACTGTCTCCCAGTGGATTGTCTTCCTAGGAGCTGGTACAAACTGGTTATAACACAATTATGGGGGCAGCTCAGGGAAAAGATAAGGGAGGGAGGCTGGAGGATGGCACAGGGGTGGGGGAACGTGTAGGTATGGAAGGGAAGGAGGAAAGGAGACCCTCTGTCTAAAAATAGTCATCAAGCACATACCATATCCCTGTGCTGGCTGGTTGGGCCATATAACCATGACAACGAATTCTAGGCTCTGCAAACATGAACTGTTCTCCAAAATGAGCCAAGATCAACCCTGGAGGAACTGCCAACATTTTCCCTACCCAAAGGGAATTTTAAGAATCCTCCAAAACCTGTCTGTGGGGGGTGCATATCAAGGGGACTGAAGACGCTGTTGGGCACAAAGGCTTAAGACAGGTGGCCTGGGCAGTTCTTACAAAACACACAGCCCAGGCAGTGAATGACACAGAGGAATAAGGAGTACTTGCCAGGAGCGTTCTGACCCAACCCGCATGTGGAGTGTCTCATCACACTGGGAGAAACAGGGCAGCTCCCTTGGGCCTTAAGCAACACAACCCAGAGGTGGGGAGTCTGCAAGAAGGTGCCGCTCTTTTTCTGTTTCTCGTTGTTGTTGCTGTTTGTTTGTTTGTTTGTTTGGGTCTTACTCTGTTGCCTAGGCTGGAGTGCAGTGGCATGACCCCGGCTCACTGCAACCTCTGTCTCCTGGGCTCAGATGATCCTCCCACCTCAGCCTCCTGAGTAGCTGGGCCTACAGGCGCATACCACCATGCCTAGCTATTTTTTTTCTATTTTTAGTAGAGACAGGGTTTCACCATTTTGCCCAGATTGGTCTTGAACTCCTGGGCTCAAGCGATCTGCCCACCTCAGCTTCCCAAAGTGCTGGGATTACAGGCACAAGCCACTGTACCTGGCCAACACTCTTTGTTAAAACAAGAAGTTGCAGCTGGAGGCCTGCGCCTTTCCCTGTCTCCCCATCTACTGGACCATGTGTCTCCAGTCTTCGGGGCCCAGGCCTGGGCCGAGGGAGGCAGTGGGCTGACACTCACCTGGGTTGGAGGCACAGCGGGGGTGACGGTCCCAGACCCTGGGTATCCTGGGTAACTCGGCACTGGCTGCTGCTGCTGCCCAGGGAGTGGCACTGGAGGCTGACCGGGGTAGGTCACTGGTGGCTGCCCAGGGTAGGCCCCTGGGGGCTGCTGTCCGGGGGGTGGCATGGGCTGGCCCGGCACAGGGGCCCCTGGGTATGGCAGATATGAGGGCATCCCGGAGGATGGGTTTCCTCCTGGGGGTGGATACATCCCATAGGGAGGAACAGGCTGCTGGGCAGAGGGGGGCTGCCCGAACCCCCCAGGGGGCACTGGTGGGTAGCCAGCCCCAGGGGCCCCAGGGTACAGGTTGGGCATGTTGGCTCCTCCAAACGTCCCAGACATGTTGGCCGCCTGCAAGGACACAAAGCAGAGCATGAGGCCAACGGGCCCCATTGCACTCTGTCCCTCCACGCTTTTTCATATGTAAGCCAAGTCAGTCCTCACAGTGTCTCCGCTTATGGAACATGAAGTACTGTTATACCTATTTCACAGACCACAGAATGAGTATACTTGCTCAAAGCTACACAGCCAGTAAACAGTGCGGCTGGATGCAAACCAGAGATCCTCACCCCCTTCTGCAGGGGAAATGCCTTCCCTCTCCACATGGCTGCTCCTCCCATCCCAGACCACCTGGGTGAAGGTTAAGAGCTCACTGCCCAAGAAGGCATGTGGGTCCCATACTCAGGGTTGGGGGCACCGCCATCACATCAGCCTGCTACCCACAGACACCTCTGGCAGGCATGTTCAGGTGAATCTGCACTCACCAGGAATAAAAGCCTAAATCCTTAGGATGAATAGCCTCCTACACCCTGCAAGAGCTGGATCCCCAGACTTCATTTCTCATCTCATCCCCTCACCTTTCCACTTTAGCCACACTGGCCTCTCCTCCATGTCCCCAAGCACCTCAGGCCCCCTGGCACCTCAGGGCACTGGCATTCCCTAGACATCCATACAGCACTTCCTTCCCCTGCTGCAGGTCTTTGCTCACACATCCTCTTTTCAGCCAGACCCACCTTACTGCCAACTTAAAATCATTATCCCTCCATCACCCCACCCCCACTCCTGACCCCTTTACCCTGCTCATCTTGTTCCCATGGCACCTACACTTTCAATAACATCACATCGTTGACTTAAGTTACTGCTTGTCTTTTCCCCATAGATGATAAATGCAGCACGGTCCAGATTTTTGTTTATTTTATTCACATATCCCCAGTGCCTAGAACTGGGCCTGGCACAAATTAGGGTGTGTAATTGGTTGCATAATTTCCTCTAAGCATACGTTTGTTTTCAAATCATAAAATGTATTATTTTAAAAGCAAAACAACAAATTTAAAAAGTAGCATGTCTGCCCAAGACACCTGCCACACACCCACCCAGGCCTAACCACAAGAGCCCTCCATATGTACACACACGCACACGCAGGTACATGAATGTGGATACTCATATATAGCACGTGCATGCACACTCATGCACACACCCTCACCACCCTCCCGACCCTAACCCCGCAGGGCTAAAACGGACCTGTGAGATCATCTGGTTCCCCTCCCCCCCATTTTACAGATGGGAAAAGTGAGACCCAGACAGGGGCAGAGAGCGGGTGGCAGAAGCCTGATGAAAACCCTGTTCTGAGGTACAGCTCAACACACTACATACCACAGCAACACACACACAGACAATTCTGGAGCCCCAGAGGCCAGCAGCTTTGATTCCTCTGGCCACGCAGGCGTGGCCCCAGGGCCGCCTCAGCAGGAAGGCTGGACTCACCATTCCCGAGAGGTAGTCCTGGTTGAACTGTCCCGCATAGCTGGCCACATTATCCAGCCCAATGGGAGGCATGCTGGGCGGAGGAGGGTAGGCAGCACCTCCCCAGGGACCACCACCTGAAAGCAACATCAAGCCATTTGGCCCCTACCAGTTCCCCAACCACACGGGGAAAGGCAGAGATGCGAGCTCCCAGGTGGTCAGGAAGGGAGGCCCAGTAGAGCCTCGAGCCTCGGGACCCCACAGACCACATGAAAACACCAGGGGGAAAGTCTCCCCCTAGCCCACTGGCAGAGGAGGGGACACCTTCCCCTCTTCCCAGGGAGGAAGGTGGAGTTCCCCAATCACTCCCAAGACCCTCTGTGGGGTATTAAGGAGGTTGGGAAAGCCCAGGCAGGCTCTGCCCTCCCGAGTTCACCATCATGGAGCGGGAAGACAGACAAAGACAGACTGTTGTGGGACACCACGCTGAGCCCATGTCAGAGGTGACCATAGGGTGCTCTGAGATTTCAGTAATGCGAAGGCATTGGCGGGAGGGGCTTTGGCTGTTGGTTATTACAAGTCTGTAAAAGGCAGGGAGAAGCAGGATAAGAGGCTGGAGGGAGACGGGGCTGGGTCATGGTAAACACAGATACCAGTCCACAAGAGGACAGGAAGAAACAGAGGTGAAAAGCCCACTCTGAAACCAGCAGGACTGGTATGTGCCCTGGGGCAAGGCTTTCACCCTCCTTAGGCTTGTTTCCTCAGCTGACAAATGGGCTCATAGTGAGTGTATGCCTAGACTGCTGTGATGAAGACTGAGTTAACGCCTGCAGGGCTCAGCTGGGTGCCCGATGGGCATTCGACATCTCTGGCCTGTTAGATGCTTTCCTGTCCATGGCAGCTTCGGATCGGCTCTTCATCTCCAGGGCTCCAGACCCTCCAGGAAGAACTTCCCTAAATCTCCTGCCTCCTTCTCTGTTGCTACTCAGAGGCTGTTCAGCTGTGCTAGCAAAGGTGGCAGTGGCAGGATTTCTACTACAGAGAGGGAACTGAGGCCAGTGCCAGCCAACCTGGGGTGGGCTTGTTCAGAGGGCAGTGGCCCAGTTCAGCCCCTAATGTGCTCTGGGACAGCAGCTGAGCCACCTCTCGGTCTGAGTCTGTTCTTCACCTGTTGAACGGGAGGGAAGGTAAATGGCCTGCAGGTCAGTGGTGCTCAAACCACAGGACCTTAGCTCCAGAGAAATGAATGATGCTGGGGGGCCCCTGGGGAGAGGGGCAGCGGCTCAGGCACCCTCAGGATGACCAGCCTTGGAATGGCCCTTTTCTCCCCTTGGTCCCATAAGCCCTCATATTTCCTTTCCCACAGTGGGGACCAAATCTCATTTGAGGACCAAAAGGGGCCAGGGCCAGAGAAGACGACTTCTCCATGTGACTACCCACAGCTCCTGCAGAAAACAGGGAATGAGTGACCTTTGACCCTTAGCATCTGCCTCCACTTCCTCTCTTGGCAAGGGGGATCTTGTTGCTGCAAACCCATACACCTTGAGCAGAGGGTAGGAGAGGTGGCAAGGGGCAACCATCACCTAGCAATGCTTTGGAGGGCACCACGTCAGAGGCTCTGCCTGCCTATCTCATCAGTATCCAGGACCACCTAATGAGGGAGAAATCCTTGAAGCAATTTTGCAGAGAAGAAAACTGAGTCTCAAAGTGACAGCAGTTGCCTACTGTTACTAGAGAGTAAGGCAAGACACCCAGCCCTGGGCCTGGGCCAGTGCTTTCTGGAGCCAGTTTCAAACCCAGGCCTCCCATGGCCTCAGCCTCAATGCTCTTCTCCAGCCCCTGCCCCCACTGGCTGTCCCTCTGCTCCTGTTGTCCTCTCCTCCCCTGCTGGGCTGTGCCAGGAGGGGAGGAGGGGAGGGAGGAAACTACTGTTCTCCCCTCTCCACTCCCAGCCACTGTACCGAGGCAGCATTCACTCTCCTCCCCACCCCAGACCCTCTTACCTGGTGCAGCTGGTGGGTAGCCGCCTGGGGGTGGGGGATAGCCAGGGTAGCTCATGGTTAGATCTGGAAGAGAAGAGGAAAGCACATTCAGGCTCGGCCTGGGAGCCCCTGCTGGCCTGTGGGAGCCCGCTTCTCAAGAGGGCAGCCACCCCCACAACTGGGACCCTGCAGGAAAAGCTGCTGTATCTGCCCTGCTTGTCGCAGCCCAGTTCACTGCCCCCTGCTGGCGCCTCCAGCTAGAAACAGTACCCACCAGCATGCTGCCTGACTTCTGGGCCAGGGCCACACCCCTGGCCCCACCCACAGTGACAGGATTCACTGCCCACCAGGATGTTCCCTTGAAAGTCTCTCTCACTGAAGCTTTGCTCCTGCCTCTGCTGGCAAGGGTGCAGTGTGCCTCTGGGTCTGTTCTCCCACCTCAGAGCTAGAGACGCACTGCCTCATTCTCAGGGCTCCAAGTCTGTCTATTTGTCTTCCTGTGTCCTTATTGCCATCCCTCCAGCAACAGGGGAAGTCAGAGGCCCCTGTCTCTCTTCATTCTCCAACCTCTGGTTTATCAGGCAAGGGGACCTGGTAAGGTATGGAATCATCATTCCTAGAAGCAAAAAGGGCCCTCAGGAGGTTCATCTGATGCAGGGTGAAGAACCAGGGCAAATGAGGCAGCACCACCCTGTTTCTGCAGCAGAGGCTGCTAAGAGAAATAAGTGATTTGGAGATCTGTCAGTAAGGGAAGAAGAGAGGCCTGGACAGGTGCAAGGTGAGACACCTGCTCTCATGAAGTCCCTCTGAACATGGATCCCTTGGCAATGTGCCATTCCAGTTAAATTGCAAGAAGGGACACCAGCCACATTGTGCAACCTGCCTGCTCTTGCTAATAGCAGCTGCTGCTGCAGTTTGCAGAGACACCCAATGGCAGGCAGGCATGTGAGGAAACCTGCAGCCTCCCTCAACAATCACACCTGCTCGTCTCGGGTACGTGGTTTCTTTTTACACACTGGGTCTCACGCTGCAATGCATATCAGAATCACCTGATGGGATTGTTAAAACACATTGCTGGGCTCCACCACCAAGAGTTTCTGAGACAGTAGAACCAGTTTTTGCATTTTGAACAAGTTCCCAAATGATGTTACTGGTCCAGGGAACCCACTTTGAAGACCACTGTTCTGGCCATGCCATCCAACTATAAGAGTCTAGTTGCCCTTCATATCTATCTTGAAGAACTGGGCATGTTGGGTTTTGTTTGTTTGAAACAGGGTCTTGCTCTGTCACCCAGGCTGGAGTGCACTGGCACAATCATGGCTCACTGCAGCCTTGACCTCCTGGGCTCAGGTAATCCTCCCGCCTCAGCCTCCTAAAGACATGTGCCACCATACCCAGCTAATTTTTTTTTTTTTTTTTTGAGAGTCTTACTATGTTGCCCAGGCTGGTATATGCCATTCTTTTTATTTTATTATTTTTTGAATATTTTAATTTAATTTAATTTTTTTT